AGCAAACCAGCTCCAAGCCTTTGGTAGAGGAGAATCCTCGTTGCTAATTAGCCTTAAAATGTGCCACTCCAAACAGCAAGGCTTGCCACAAATGACGCAAAGGCTAATTACTTGGTCTTTAATGGCAGGGCCGTGCCTGGCTAATGGGCCTGGAAGAATCCACACCCAGTGTGTGCATCCTGCTGTGCATGGTGGTTTCTGTGTCATCACTGTGGGTGATATAGAGCTTCAGGCATAAATACAGCAGGGTTTCAGGGCTCTCACAAAGCTCATTTTGAGAAATTGGTACTCAGGAGCTGTAAGGAGGGTGCAGGGAGTCCTGCCCTGGCTCTCCCCAGCCCTGGCGTGCAGGTAGCTGAGCTGCCTGCTGTGCTGCGGCTTCTAACCTGGGTTTTTAAGGTGAACCCGAGTTGTGTCATCCGTGATTGTGACCCAGAGCTGGCCTCCTCCTGAGACCAGGAAAACCTGGTGCAACCTTTTGTTTAACCCTGTTGGCAGCGGCTCTTGGAGTAAACAGCCAGGCACTGCAAGGCCAACAAACGCCAGGTCTGAACTGTTTTAGCTGTCAGAACATAACCACGAGGAAGAGTCTGATTTGATTTGCTTCTGGGCAGAATATCAGGTCTCTGTTGAGAGTCCATTGCTGGCCTACTCCCAAGGAAGCTGTGGCTTGCTGGTGAAGGAGCAGGGTTCTGCACAGGCATCCAAAGCCCTGTCGTGCTGGGCACTGTGACAATGCAGCATCCATTTCTCATCATGGGGACAGGGCCTGTCCCGTGAAAAAGAGTGGATTGTCATCTGCATTGCCCCTGACAGGGCTCCAGGCCCTGATCTCAGGTTGTCTGAACAGCCTGATTGCTTTGCTTTTTTTTTTTTTTTTTTTTTTTTTTTTTTTTTTTTTTTTTTTTTTTTTTTTTTTTTTTTTTTTTCCTGTCTAGCATGTCTAGTTTCTTTTTTGCTCTGGTGACCACTTATGGTGACAGTGTTCTCACTGCAGTGCCACCAAAACATACAGGGTCCTGCATAAGAAGGGCATCAGCTTTTGGGTGACAGCACCCACATCCTGCTGCCATGGCTGGAGTTGTCCAGGCCCTCAATGAGTTCAGTTTAGTGCCCTGGCTGTGATTTTGGCAGTGGGACAGGGCAGCAAAGGTAGGAGGGAGCTCAGCCAGCTGCCCCAGGGGAATCACTGGCAGGGCTGGAGACACCGAGGTGCTCACCACATCCCGCCCGTGTTACGCCCACACCACAGCTCTCCCATCTTTTGCCTCTGATCCACTTCCCCAGGGCACAGAGCCATCAGCTCCTGGGAGCTGGCAGAGGCACACAAGCTGAACGTGGCCACTCAGCTCCCAGGGGCAAAGCCTGTGCTGGTGGCCTCTCCTCTGGGGCCAGTGCTGTGCTTCAGCCCTGGCACAAAATCACTGCTCACCAGGCTCTCCTTGCTTTGGCGATGCACCAGTTAACTGTGCTGCCAGCGGGACCACCTCGTGCCAAGGGCTTGCTGACCTGATTTGTTGGAAGAGCCATCTCTCTCTGCCCGGGGTCAGCTTCCCCTGAGCGGGCCAAGTTGACTCCCAGGCTGCTGGAGCCACAGATGAGCCTGCTGACAGCTCCTCCTTGCTGGGCATGAGGCAGTGTTCCTTGGAGCCACTGTGCCACCGGGGGTCTCTTGAGCAACTCAGCAGTGTGGCAGCTCTGTGCTTCCTCCTGGGGTTTGGGTTTCCCTTCCTGCCCTTTGCAGCTGCTCTCAACAGCCCAGCGGGGCTTGGGGTCCTGCTCGGTGGCAGGGCCACACACGGACGTGATTGTGGGGTGTGATGGCAATTCCTCTCCCTTTCCTTGCCAAATCCTGAGGCCTTGGCCAAGTGTGCTGCTGTCCTCTGTGCCCGTCCTGCTGTTGGTATGGGCTCGAGTGTCTGTGGGATCGAGCAGGGTGATGAGCAGCTGTCAGGCACTGCTGGCCCCCCTTCCCACGATGAACATTCGCACATCGAAGCTCCCAACCGGCCCAGCTCCACTGGGCTAAATTTAAAGTTCCTGTCTTTCTGGGAAGCTGAGCAGCAGACAAGTATTTTCTCAAACCCTGAAGTTCCTCAGGGAGCTGGCCTCACTGCTCTGGGCGCGCAGGGCACGGCAACCCAGCTGTGAGGGGGTCGGAGCCAGCACCCAGACTAACCCTCTCCCTCTCTCTCTGTAGGTTCATGCAGCATCCGAAGAACTTCGGCCTGATCGCATCCTTTCTGGACAGGAAGGTAAGCCTCCCTGCCCGGCTTTAACCTGAATCGTGCTGCCTCTCCCCCATCACTTGTCTCATGGTGCAGGAGCTGCCAGCAGTTGCCGGGCACCTGTGGGCGGTGGTGGCTCCGAGCCCCGGGCATGGTCCAGACGCCTCCCGGCTTCCTGCAGGGACGAGGGACTGAGTCAGCTGCGGAGAGACAGGGAGCTCGGAGCTGAGAGGTGTGAACGCAGCCAGCCTGGCGCGTGGGTGTCTCAGCCCACCCCGTGATCTGCCTGAGGAGCTGCTTTCCAGCATCTCCCGGAGGCATTTTGCACCAGCCAGGCTGTCACACAGGGGGTGGGCGCTCGGCTGCCCAGCACAAAGTGAAGGGGTTTCTTAGCTCAGGGAGATCTTGAGGGTGGGCTGAGTCCCATTTCATCCAACAGTTTGGGTGGGTGTCCTATAAACACATGCACCTCCCTTTGGTGTTTAGGAAGAGTTTACTGGTAGGATCTTTCCCAGACCTCTGTGTTGTGCTGCTTGGAATTTTCTTTTCCTTTTTATTGTTAATTGGGCTGATGAAGAAAGGTTTGAGAAAGAGATCTGATAAAGAGCGAGTCTCTGGTCCTGTTCTAAGCAAGGCCAGGTACCTTCTGAGGGACAGGCCATATGGGCAAATCCTGGACAGATCCAGCCTGGAAAGGGAGTGATATCCATCACCCAGATGGACTCCTAAGTAGGAAACATTTGAGAGCTGCTGCTTCTCTGGTTCCTGTAGTTGGTTGCATCCTCTGCCCTTCTCATGCAGGGTGTCATCCATGAAGTGTCCACTCACTGTGGGGGAACCCCTCTGCCCTTCAGACAGTGGCCTTCAGAGGTCCTTTCTACCTTAAATTATTCTCTGCTTCTGCATGACTCAGGCTGGGGAAATAATTTATAAGACCTTGACCTTCCTGTCCAAAATAACAAGGAAGCAAAGGCCAGCAGCCACCTCGTGCTGCTGCTGTTGCTGTAAGATTATGGGCTCTTCAGCCTTTCCCATTTGGTAAAGCCGAAAGCAGTGGGACTTGGATGATGTTCACAATCCAGTCTGTGTTCCAAGCTGTAAAAATGTCTTCTAATTTTATTTGTACTCGTTTGTAAATCAGGCTGTAATTATGATACAGAACACATCCATTATCCTGTTGGAGAGAGATGCAAAGTATGGCTCAATGTAATGAATTAATAGATTTTTAAATTGCATTATAAAAAAATAGTGATCTTAGCCCTTGGAACAGATGACTGTAAGTTTTTGTGTTCGCGTGTGTGTGTGTATAATCAGAGCTAGTTTAGAAAGAGATCCAATTAACACTTTAAAAGTTGCAATCTGTTTTTGCAAATGGTTCCACTCCTTGCAGAGGGATGGGGCGAGCACAGCCCGCGGGCACCCCCGGGCGCACGCAGCTGCCCCCGCTCCTGAGCACCTGTGGCATGGCAGGTCTGTGGGATTATGTCTGTTCTTGTAGCTGCTGATCCTGTACGTGAAGGTGTAGCCCAAGACCAGTATTCAGGTGTCCACCCAGTTCAGAAAAGGCTTTTTCCCAACATGCTGGCACACTCTGTGCTGTTGAGGAGCAGGATATGTCCTGGCCATGGCTCCTTGTTTTCCTAACATGTCCAATCTGTGATGGTGCTTGTGGAGCAAACCAGTGGAGTTGGAGCTGGGATGGCAGCTCCTGAATGCTGGGCATCTCAATCTGTCCACGAGAAAGTCGTGGGCGCTCGAGCCAGCGAGCTTAATGGGTGGAAGTAACACCAGCTGACAGTCGCGTGGCAGGTTGTGCCTCATGTAACCTCAACAGAGGGTGACAGGCAGCTCCTTCTTCTGCCTCTGGTTGCCACGGTCATCTGGGGTCAGCCCTTCCCCTGCTTTGTTTCCAACGCGGGGTGCTCTCTGCTCAGCACCCCCTCTCGGTCTCCTCGCACCTGCAGGACCACCCTGGTCTGTCCCTTGGAAGAGCTCAGCCTTTTTGCAAGGACAAAGTACATGACCCCACTCTTCCAGCTCCGGAGGCCTTTGGGAGGGAGGTGAAAGGAAGCTGTTGGGCTGCAGGACTTCGGGATCAGCAGGAGACCTGGTGATGGCCGGGTCTGAATGCTGCTCCTGGAAGTCTGTGCCCCAACAGCACAAGAGGACAGGACCTTCTGTTCCCTGACTTGCCCATGTCATTGCAGACGGTGGCTGACTGTGTCCTCTATTATTACCTGACCAAGAAGAATGAGAATTACAAGAACCTCGTAAGGAGGAATTACCGGCGGCGCGGGAAGAGCCAGGTAAGAGCTGGAGGAGCGCGTGGCAGTGTTGTCCCTTGGCCTGAGCAAGGAGCTGTAGTGCTTTCTGTGAGCCCTCAAATGTTGCCTTCCCCCCCTCTCCGCATAGGGATCTTGCTTGCAAGCTGTGATGGGGCTGTGGTTGTGCTCTTGTAGCTTTTCAGAACATGCTTTTTTTCTGGCTGTTGATGTTTGTCCGTGCCCATGCCAAGGTTGCAGTATCTTTAAAAAAGCAAACAAACCCAAGATGCTTAAAAAAGGGGAGGGAGGGAATGCAGAAAGTGTGGCTGCGTGTCAGGAGCACAGGGTTGCCCGTGCAGCCTGGGCTCTGTGCAAGAACCGAGCGGGGCTCGCTGGAGATGGCAGCTGTGGTGCTGATGACAGGGCTCCTGGGAGCTGGGTGAGGAGGTGCTCCTGCTTTGCAGAGCCTGCCCAAGGCTCTTCCTACAGGCAAAGGTGTGGGAGGAGAAAGACTTGGGTGGCAGCGACTTCTGGTGACGCCCAAGCAGAGGCATATAAATCCATCTGGAGTGCTGGAGGGTGTCCGAGATCCCTGTGGAGGTGTCCGAGATGGCTGTGGGGCTGGCTGATTTGGCACTAAAGCTAGAGGAGACCCTTAAGCCTTTGGTTAAGGGCAGAGCAGATACCAGGGTGCCACAAGGTGCCTGGGGGTAGGGGACTGAGTCAACCCTTGCCGTTACCATGGCCAAGATACAAATCTAGACATGACCTTGGCAGTGTTGCTGCTGATCCCACAATACCCAGGTACCCAGATAAGTGCTAACCTTTTGGGCAGGTGCCTTATCCCCGCAAATGCTTCCAGCCAGAGGCAGGTCCTGCTGGTGGATCCCCACATCCATGAAGCGAATGATTATTCACATAATGAGGAGAGTGAGGTGGCCACAAAGGGACTGTCTCCCCAGATAATGTGGAATAAGGAGGGAAAAACTGGCCTGGCCCGTGCCACCACTGACATCAGCAGCTCCTCACGCTGCATGGCCATAAAAAGCAGCACTTGGGCCCAGATCCTGATTGGGAAGCAGATAGGTAGCCTCACTCCAATTTGATTTCTGCAGCATTAAGACATCAGAATAGTTAGCACATGACGAATGTCATGGACGGGGCCCAATTTTCCCTTCTTTTTTTTTCAGAGACATTAGAGATGGATAAAGCCCCATTAGATTATCCAGTCCCTCTCCCAGCAAACACAGGGTGGTTCCCTCCAGTACATTTTTATAGTGTTTACCATGGTCTGTTTTGTTAGATCACAGCAACTAGAACATGAGGCCACATTTGTTTCTAGTTAGCGGTGGAGACATTAAGCACAGCTCACTCTGGTTTCAGTGTTAAATTGAGCAAGTGTGGAGAGTGAGAGGCTTTTCTCTGCATCTGCCTACCTACCCCTGAGGGCACAGGCTTGCCCATCCTGCACCCAGCAGGGACTATTTGTGTTTTGGGTTTTAAAATTACCCAAAGCATCGCTAGCTGCAAATTTCCCACGGCGCTTTCCCTCACTTATGAGCCTGGTCCAGCCTGGTCCGTGGAGATTTGTGCTGCCCTTTGGAACCTCGTTCAGTGATAGCCTTTGGAAGCAGGGACTTGTTTCATCAACTGTTGGAAAAGGCAGGACTGTTTTTGCAAGCTGGAATTGCACCAAAGGGAGCGACTGCACCTCCCCTGGAGCAGATCTCAGCCAGATTATTGATTTTGAAAGGGGAGTCCCCCTGAGTTTGGGGGGGAAGTGACACACTGCATATTTCCCATTACTGTTGGATGCTCAGGTGGAAGGTGGGATATTCAGATAAGTTTTAAGAGCCATGGGCTGGCTGCACAATTCGCTGTAGGAGAGAGGTGCAAAACAGCAGTTGCTGTATATAATCCAGCTGGGAGCAGCTCTCCCCCAGAGTTCTTGGTGGTTTTGAGATGGACACTTGGTGCTGTGCTACCTCCAGTATTTGCATCCATTTCCTGCAAGGCTGCATGAGAGGAGCACTAGAAGAGCCTGTGTGCAGGCTTGGGAAGGGCACACTGCTGCATAGGCTGCGGAGGCAGCACAGCTGGGTCTGTGCTGCAGGGGGAGGCTGTGCTAGGGTGGGATTTTGTGGCAATGAAGGGAGGAATGTGTTGTTAAAAGTCCTGTCAGAAGCTGGTGGGAGCAGTGAAGCATCTTCCTTGCACCCCTTCACAATCTCCCTTGAGCACTGTTCCCTTAGGAACTGCTTTCCCAGGCCAGGCTGGGTTGGCACGCAGCCAACCAGCACAGGAGAGGTTAGATACTGGCAAGCCTGGAGGGCTGGGATGGAGGGATGCTCCTGGTGGGATTTTGCTTAGTGAGTCTTTTCAGAAGCAGCTGAAATTCTGCCTGTGTTGCAGAAGTTGTGCTCGTTTGGGAGTAACCCGTCCTGAAGGCTCAGCTGGCCCGTTGGCTGCCCATCCTCCTGCTTGTTCCCAGGGGGTCCTGGATTGTTTGTAACCCTGTGTAGGTCCTTCATCCTGTCTTAGATGTGGCCTGGTGAGGAGCGGGGACTGTGACTGAGGAGCCTGCAGCTTTGGGCCGACCCGGCACCAGCAGCTGTGACATTATTTGCCCAGTCTTAGGCATCAGAGATGGTGATGGGATGAAGGGTAGGGAGGAGACAGAGCCCTAGGCAGTCTTCCTGCTGCACTGGGAGGCATGGCACTGTGTTCCCAGCACTGCCTGTGCTCTGAGCAAGGATTTCCCTACTGGTAAGGGTTCCAGCAGTTAAACGCCAAAAGCTGAGATTTAATTAATTTAGAGCAGAGGAGGAGAGGTTGGCTTTTGTATCAGATGAGAGGAGTGGATGAGGTTTGATACAAAGAGCATTTCAAGTGGCCCTATGCTGGTTTCTTCCTCATTTTCTCATGGAGAGGTTGGTGGTCTTATTTGCTCTTGGAGGCTGTGGGGAGCTTGAGAGTGAAGGGGAGATAATTACACATAGAAATAAAGCTACTCTGGTGTCAGGACTATCTCTGTGGCCTGCTTATTAAAAGTCCATTAAAAAATAAGAATCCCACTGCTCCCTGGCTGATGGTCCCCCGGCAAGGGATATTCCTCCTAAAGCTGCTACTTATTGTTAAAAATCTCCTGCCAAGAGCAGGGGCTTCACATGATTCCACTTCCAGTTTGTCAGAAAAGGGAGCAGCCGCCCGCTCCAAGGCAGGGCTCATGCTCCCGCCACGCTGCCTTCCCCGGCACTGATCAGTGGAAGGTACCCACATGCAGTGGGTCGTGATGCATCATATTAAGGCTTCTGAGATTAAGATATTTCTAAAATAATCCTCTGTCTTCGTGTATGGAAAAGGCAGTTTAACCCTGCAAGGGGGGGAATGGATGGGAGGAGAAATAGCTTCCTAGTTGTCATTTCTCATCGGAAGGAAAGAAAAGAATTTGTGCCGTGGTAAAACAGTCTGATCCAATTTCAGTGTACAGTAATAAGCATAAATTTGCGTGAGCTTGTAATGAAAGGCTCTTGTGCGAATGTGTCACCTCGGGGTCTGTGGTAGTTGGTCTTCAGGATATTTTCAGAGTGTCTCTCTGTGAACCCCCCAAATTCTATAGCGGGGGCACCCAAAATTGAAGCACCATGTGCTTTGCCCTTTGGGAAGCTGTCTTGCCTGGGCTGTGGGAACACAAGCACTGGGCTGAAACCGGGCTGGATGGAAAGTGACCCTACTTCAACATAACTGTTCTGCTTAGAGCGTGAGGTTTTTATTCCAGAGCGAATTTGCTTTGATTTCGGAGTAGTGTTGCCCGTGTGGTAGTGGAGTGGCCACAGCGTGCCAGGTATGCTTCCTGCGGGGGTACCAGTGAATTCCTGGGTGGAAAAGCCGTGGGGCTCCCACATGATGGGCAGGCGGGGGGCCATCCCGCCAGGCACAGCCATCGGTGCTCTCTCCAGTGGCGGGCCGGTCGGCAGCAGTGACGGGTGGCTGGAGGAGCCGCCTGCCCGCCCTGAGGATGACTCAGAGGGGGATGAAGTCATGGTGGACGGACACGGCCCGCCGGACGTGCCGTCATGCCGGTCCCCCTCGGCGCTGCTGTCAGACGGTGCTCAAGTATTCCCTGGCGAAAGGGCCCTGCGTGTTAGCCTTGACGCTTTCGAGGACTTGCTCCGTGGCACCCGCAGCACTGGAGCCGCCCAGACCCCCCTTCCTCCGCCGAGAGCGGTGCCAGCAGGGCGGAGACCCACGGTGTGACCTGGCCAGGCGGCCCACGCTGTCCCCTGCCAGGCCCGACAGCCTTTCCCAGGCCCACCCTCTTCCCTGCCCCCTGCCAAAACCCAAATCGAATTATCCATCCCGCCGCTGTCCCGCCCTCCCCAAACACAAACCATTCGCCTCACCGATGGGGATAAACAGCCCCAGCCCAGATTTGTATAAACAAACCGTTTACTTTTTTGGCTGAAGCGCTGTCCCAGCAGGGTCTGGCCAGGTTTGATATCTCATGGGTCCTGCAGCCTCAGGAAAAACCTGGCCAGGCAGGTTTCTCTGGCTACCGGCAGCCCTGTTGCAGGGGCTGGCAGGGCTCAGGCTTCCAAATAGTGCCTGCCCACAGCTCCAGGGCTCCCTGTACCCTGTCCCCAGTGCAGGAGCAGAGCTTCTGCCACGCTCCAGCTTTGCCATGCTGTTGCCTCCCCTCCCTCCACGAGGATCAAGTCCAGAGCTCAGCAGACTGCCTCTGACACTGCAAATTGTGCAAGTGCCCCTGCTCCAGTAACCACAGCAGCTAATGAGAGGAATGATACTTGTTTCTGGGAAGCATTTGATCTTCATCAGTCTGGGGAGTGGCTTCTCGTTAGCGACAAAGGGTTTGACAGCTTCTCTTTCAGATGTAGGGAGATATTTGTCACAAAATCCTGGTGTAATAATACAGCACATCATACATAAGCAGCCCTGGATGTGGCCAGTAAACTTTGTGCCGCAAATACCAACAAATTATTCCGCAGGCATTCAAGGCTGTGCTGATTGGGGCTGTATTTAAA